ACTTAAGCCTATAATCCCAGCACTCTGGGAAGCCAATGTGGGTGGATCCTTTAAGCTCAGGAGCTTGAGACCAGTCTAAGCAAGATCGAAACCCTGTGTCTATTTTCTTATTGAAAATAAGAAAAATAAGCTGGGCATTGTGGCAGGTGCCTATAGTCCAAGCTGCTTGAGAGGCTGAGGCAGGAGGATTGGTACAGCCCGAGAGTTTGAGGTTGCTATGAGCTATGATGCCACAGTACTCTAAGACCCAGGTGACAGAGTGAGACTCTGTCTCAAAAATAAAAGAAGCAGAAGCAGGAAGCCCTGGAGGGCAGGCAGCTCTGGGGAACTATGGGAGGGTCTTCTGGGCCCAGGCTGGCCTAGAGCAGGCTGCTGCATCACCTTCTGGCTCACTCTTCCCAGACAGGTGGCCGCAGAGCCCATATGTGAGCCAGACGTGAGGGCCTCAGCCCACATGGACCAAACTCCTGTCTACAGGTGACCCTGCCATAATAGGCGGCACCTACACGGACAGCCATGGTGCCAGGCAGCCATGCAGACGCTGCACAGGGCAGACACCACATGGAGGGCAGCAGCCGGCTCCTAACTGGGTTCCTCTGACTCCCACATGTGCCTGTTGCTCTTGGCCGCCGTGTGGGCCCTGACACAGTACCACATAGGCTGTACCGCCCATGGGCTGGGCTGGACTCACGCAGTCCACTCCATAGCATCAAGGAAGCTGGATGGTCTCAGAAAGGGGGGTTCAGCTGCTTCCTCCCACCCACACCTTGTACCCTGGTGATTTCTGCATCTTGTTCTGTCCTGGAGGTGACCAGTGTCCGGGCACCTTTCTGGCAGAGGGTGCTACAGGACTTTTCTATGCAGGGTGCCTAGGGGACCCTTCCCCACTGCCACTGACTCTGCCTCCCTCTGCCTCAGAGTGGAGGCCCCACCTGGGGACCCTCCTGCAGCCCTAGGGGACCAGACAGGTGTCTCTTGTCACTTATCACAACCTCCCAACTAACCCGTGGAGTGCTGTCCCTGTGGTGGCAGGAACAGCACAGACCTGGTGAGTCTCACCACGTCCCACAGGTGCCAGGGCAACATTGCTACTCTGGTAAGGGGGGCTGACCGCCTGGCTCGGGGTCTTGCTCACCGGAAACCTACACAGAAGCAGACAGGTTCTAGGCAAGGGACAACCAATGTACTTCTCAGCACTGGGCATGGCCGAAGAGCCGTCTCCAGGTTTAAGAGGTGCCTGGTGAACACACCAGCCTCCCAGGACAGCTGTTGCCATGCACATGGGCATCAGACCACTCTACCACAGAGTCTAGCTCTGAAACATGGACAAAGCACACAAGTAGGAAATTATCTGCGTGCATCAAGACTGGCTTTGGGGCTGGTCCGGGGGCTCACGCCTGTGCTCCCAGCACTCTGGGAGGCTAAGACAGGAAGATCCCTCAAGCTTGGAAGTGTGAGGTTGCTGTGAGCTGTTATGACCCCACAGAACCCTACCCAGGGCAAGAGAATGAGACTCTGTCTCAACCCCCCCCCTTACAAAACCAAAAGCCCCTCCAAAAACTGGCTCCATAAGGATAACAATAACAGGAAAAATGCTACATTTCTTACATACATTTTTATACACAGATCTTCCCTAGAAAATTCTATTTTCAACAGTTTCTTTCCTTTTCTTCTACCTCACAGTGGTGGTCCCTTGCCCTCACACCTAGGGCCTGCACTTCACAGCAGAAGGAAGCAGCATAAGAACACGAGATTCTATAAACACTCAGCACTGTGTGCAGAGGTCACCCTGGAGCCACGGAGGAGAATGTACAGTCACTCGGGCAGAGGCCTTGGCAGGCGGCACAGGCTTGCACCTCCCCATAGCCGCAACCAAACGGCTGCACATGACACCTGCCCACTAGGCAGGAGGGATCACCAAGTGGTGAGAAGCTCACGTCAGCCAGGGAAGCCTGAGCTCGCCCTGAATAGCTCAAGACATAACCATAACCAATGTGCTAGCACACACCCACGTAGTACCACCCCACATAAACACGCACGCAGGGGCACACGCACGCAGAGACACACACACAGGCAGACGCACACAGGGGCACACACATGCAGAGACATGCACACGGGAGCACGCGCACACAGGCACACACACAGCACATGCACACAGAGGTACACACAGAGGCAAGTATACGGGTACACAAGTAGAGGCACATGTACACAGAGGTGCACACACACACAGAGGCACATATACAGGTACACGCATGTAGAGGCACACACACAGAGGTACATGCACATAGAGGCATGGGTACGCATGTAGAGGCACACGCACACGGGCACAGGCACATGTGGCATCAGACCAAACCCGCACTCAGGAACACCATGTGGGCTCCCACTCACTGTCAGGGCTCCCTCTAGTCTTGCCACCTACAGCAGAGTATGATTTAGGTGCCTCTGTAGTGCTGAAGGAAGCCCCATTTCCCTTCCGTATCCGACTGACAGGCCAGAGGATGCAGAACCCCAGGCCAGGCATGGACGCGGCAGTAGGCCTCTACCATATGGGATCCCCAGAGTGCAGCTTCCCTGCTGGTCCACTGGGTCTGTCTTCCTCACTCACTGCTCCTTGCCCAGAGCTGCTCTGGGAAGGCCTGGACCTAACAGTCAGCCTTCTGCAGTTGCAGCAGGACCCTGTGGGCCTTAATGCAGAACCAGGAAGGGTGAGGCAACAGGGTGAGCTGGTACCTGTGTCCGAGTCCTTCTGCTCCCCATTGGCACCCACGGTGAAGGGCAGCTTCCGCTTGGTGGCCCGTTCCCTCACCTCCTTTCCTCCATCACTGCGGTCCAGCCTCGGGGTCTTGGTTAGAGAAACTTTATCTTTATCCTGAAAAAGAAAGTAACATTTTCAGAAAGTACCTCCAAATTAAAATTCTAAAAATCCTCATGCCTACTGAGATTCCACATCACCTGCCAGAAGCAAACCTTGTATTTGGGCAATTAACAGCTCCCCCACCCCCCCACCAACTGAAGAGCCAGGCCCCAGCTGCTGACCATAGGACCTTCAACCAGGAGTGGGAGTATGGCCCTCACTCCACGTCCCTCCTCTCCAAGGACTCTCAGGAGACAGTTGCTGCACAGAGCTACTGGCTAAATGCAGAATGCAGGTGGACAGAATCACACATTGCTTCCCACCCACCCTCACTCCCCTGGGGAGGGATTAAATAATGAGGAAAAACAAGATCTGAGCCTTCTTTTTAAAAAAGCTCAAAGGGATTTGACATGTGTGATCCTATTTTTCATCACCGGCGGCTCTCAGGGTGTCCAACTCTCCACCTGTCCCTAACTGCACCTCTGGCATCACTCTGGGCTGAGTGGAGGCACGGCTATTGGGGGCACCAGGGCCTACAAGGAGTGGGCAGGGCTGGGAAGCCTGGCTGCAGCCAGCCCCAGGCTACCTTTTAGCAGTCCCTGCCTTCCAGGTACCTCCGTAGTCCCATCTGTATGGGAGAGAGCTGCACCCACCTCACAGCCGACTGAGGATGAGGAGGGAGCCAGCACATCACGCAAGGGACATCTCTACCTGAGGCATGGAGGACACAGAACATGTGTTGGGACAGCAGACCAATTACCAAACAGGTAGGGCCACAGGGGTGCAGAAGCTGACCCTCAGGTCAGGAGTAGGCAGTGAGTCATGGTGGAAGTAGGTTTTGCTGTGGCCATGAGGCAGGACTGTCCCAAAGAACAAAAGCGGCACCAGGAGGGCCCAGCCTCAAAGGAGACTCTGGAAACAGAGCCTTCCCTTATGGGCTACCATGTACCTCAGCAAACTGGCAGAACTCCAAGGAAGACCCAGGCCTGTTAAGCCTAGGTGCACCATGGAGCACTTCCGTCCAAGCTGGGGAAGGCGGGTCTCCAGAACCACACTGCTCCCAGGCAGCGAGCTGTGTCCTGGAATCCCAGGCTGAGCACAACAAACACTTCTCAGTCTCTGCTGCCCTCAGGTACTTCAAGGCCAAGAAACCTTCCAGTAGCTAGTCAAACACTGCATAGCAGACCTGGCAGTTAACCAGACATGCCCTTGAGTGCCCACAGGGATCTCAGCCAGAACATGCTGCCAGCACTAAGGGCTTCCAGAGCTGAGAGGTACTGCCAGGCAGACATGGGAGCCAGAGCCCAGAGCACAAGACTTGCACCACGGTCCTCGGCTAGGTGCCAGGACACAGTTGTCCCAGGGCAGCTCCCCTAAGGTCTGCGATGGTCCACCCAGGACAGAACTCAGCACACAGTGAAAACCCCACTCCGCCCTATGACACCTGCCCACCAAGAGCCCATGGCCCAGCCGGTGAATTCCACCAACCATTTAAAGAAGAAATAATAACCCAGTGGCACAGTAGCTCACGTCTGCAATCCCAGCACTCTGGGAGGCCAAGGCAGGAAGGTTTGTTGAGGCCAGGCATTTGAGACCATTTTGGGCAACCTAGCAACCTCTCCCTTTCTCAGAGGGAAAAGGAGGGAAAAGAAAGACATAATACACAAATTCTTCCCATGAACAAAAGAATATCCCCAACTACTTTGTGAGGCTGCCATAATGTTAACCTTAGAACGTGGTAAAGGCTGTTCCATGACAACAAAATTATAAACCAATATACTTCATGAACAGAAAAATGCTGAGCAGACATAAGCAATTCTGATCTATGACTACATAAAAAAAGAAAATGCAAATTATATATATATGTATATATATATATATGCGCGCCTGTGATAAAATTCCACACTGCTCCTGCCAGCCCCAACATGCTGGGAGGACAGGAGAACATCCCAACACAGAGGCCTTCAGGATGTCCCAGCAAGTGGTGGCACGAGTTCAGTGCAGAAGACTGAATGTCTTCACCTAAGGTCAGGATCAAGGCAAGGCTACCTACCTACCCTCAGTCTACTGAAGAAAAAAACAAACAAAAACCACCTCATATTTTTAAATGAAAAGCAAGTTCTGAACAGGCACTTTACCAAAGAAACTACCCAAGTAGACAGCCCACATCTGAAGAAGCCTTCCCTGCCAGAAAAATGCAAGTATGTCAGCATTTCCATTAGAATGGTCAAAACAAAACAGATTGACATATCCAGTGCCGTGGAGGACACAGGGCAGCAGGGCAGCAAAACCTCAGAGCAGAGCTCCTGATGAAGTTAAGGAAGCGAGTGCACAGTTCAAAACTAGCATAGAAATGTTCCTGGCAGCGAACAGTCAAAAGTGTTCAGTGTGACTGATGTTGGAATGTCTTCAGAAGGATTACACTGAGTTTCAGCCTTGAAATGGCAAGTTCTCATGTGTACAGTAGGTGAACAGAGGCTGGGTATGGTGGCTCACGCCTGTAATCCTAGCACTCTGGGAGGCTGAGACAGATAGATTGTCTGAGGTCAGGAGTTCAAGACCAGCCTGAGCAGAAGCGAAACACCATCTCCACTAAAAACAGAAAAAAACACTTAAGGTGTCATGGCGGCACCTATAGTCCCAGCTACTCAGGAGACTGAGGCAGGAGGATCACTTTGAGGTTGCTGTGAGCTATGATGTCACTGCACTCTACCCAAGGCGACAGGGATACTCTGTCTCCAAAAAGAGTAAATGGATAAATCAGTCTTTGTGTGGAAGTAGAATACTCCACAGTAATTTAAAACACAGGACTGGCACCAGCACACATGACGCTCACAGCAGCAATGCTGCCACGAGGCAGCCACAGTTGGGAATGGGGACCCTGCTGGCATCAGACTGGACTCAGTCCCTTTTCCTCCCCAACAGAGATAACACAGCAGTGCCAGACAGAAAGGGGATATGAATACATATACAAAAACTCCAAAGGACTACACAATAAAACTGTTCAAATTAGTAAGTGAATTAACCAACTTGTTGTAGACCATAAACAATTAGAAATGGTATAAAAAAATCACTAACTTCAAAAGATATCCATAGAAGAACAAATCTAATAAAAGATGCTTAAGCTCCCTACACACAATTATGAAACACTGCCAAGAGAAAATGATGAAGCTGCAGAAACAGAGGAACTGGCATGCTCAGGCCAACAGGCTCAGTACAGTTGGAGCAGGAGTGACCACAAACTGCCCTTTGCAGAGTGTGCCATCAGAATCCCAGCAGGCTTTCTGTGGACATCAACCTGCCCACCCTTAAATGTACACAGGTATGCAAAGGGAATTCTGAGAAACGGGAGGCAATTTAAACAGCTTCAATGGTACCAGACCATAAAGTTATGGTCGTCAAACAGGCCATCCTGGAAAAAAGACGATAGACCAGGGGCAGTGAACAATCCAGGGAAGGGGGAGCAGAGGTGGAAGTTTGGCTGGGACCAGGGTCCTGGACACCGCTGGGCAGTGGGGGCCGCTCCCCGGGAAGATGGCAAATATGCAGCCTCCTCACACCACACACAGATCAGCTCCAGGTAAGTGAGGCTCAACGCTCACACAAGACAGCACAAGAGAGTACTCATGGACAGAAGATAACAGAAAAAGACAGAAAAACCACCAAACACTACCACACATTAGCCAGAGTGACAGATTAAAGTCACCCCACCAAGCCCCACCAAGGATGCAAGGCAGCCTGACTCAGTAGCGTGTGGCTAGTACAACCATGTTGTCAAACTGCTTGGACTTACTTATCTGCCCAGGTGGGGGAAGCCTGGTGTACATGCCTCAGCAACATCCCACTAGGGATCCAAGGTTTCTGGCAGAAGGCACAAACTGCCGAGGTTTCACTACATTTCAGACAGCAAGGGGCAGAAGAGAACTGCTGACAGGGAAAAAACCCAGGAACCAAATACAGTACACACCCAAGCAAAAGCCTTCTGGCAGGAGGGACACTGCCATGCAGCACAGTCTGAGATGACTCCTGGGACACTGTGACAGCACATCTTTTCATCTGGATGGCAATTATGCTGGTTTTTTTTTTTTTTTTTAAAGGAGACTGGTTTTACTTACAGTGAAAAGATTTTGCCAGGGACAGTCAATACAAAGAAACGACAAAAAAATAGCAAGAAAGAGAACAGTCGAGTGCCGCTCGATGAGTCCCAGCAGCTTTCCTGAAACAGGCACATCCCTGGGCCGCACAAGTGGTCCCAGTGCTGCTCACCTGTCCCACCACTGAGACAGAGGTACTGAAATCCTTCAGACAACTGCTCTACTATGGGACAGCTGCAGCTGTCACAGAGTAGCCCCCTCTGAACTTTAACAAGACAGGCAAAAGTAAATCATTCCATGGGCTAGGCTGAAAACAACAAAAACACAAAATATGTTGTTTCTTTTCCCCAAATGAAATCCACATGAAAGTCCTGTGTGATTCCAAAATTTCCAGAGCAGAAATGGAGTGATGTGAAATGTCAACGACCCCATAATTGTGTAAAGAACTTACATCTCAAATATTCTAATTTCACATGAGAGCAATAAAATACTGTCTGGTCTCCCAGTGCCACCGGCAAGTCTTGTGAGGTCCTCCTGCCTGGCCTCTGGAGGGGCCCTATTCCCTGAGGCCCGCTCACCAGGCACTGCCCGCCATCCTCACATGCAGCCTGGTCCAGCAGAAGGCCCAGGAGTTTTCTTATTTGTAGTTAAAAGCTGCACCCAGAGGTAGTGGCGTAGTAAATGCTTGGCAGCAGAGCCACCATCTCAGAACCAGTTTTGTTGTGTTTTGTTCAAGTGTGACTTCTGTCTTTAAATTAAGGAGGTTTGAGGCCACCTGGGTTTTGTGTTTTCAGTGCTGAGAAGTGAAGTCCAACCGTGGGGCCCTCTACCCACTGAAGGATGCGCTCTGAGCATGGGTGAGAGGCAATGTCTCCTTTTGGCACCACAAAGTCGATATTTTTCAAGTAAGAAAGCTCTCCC